CCCTGATATATCAACAATTACATTAAGTGTAAATGAACAAACTATACTAATTTTTAAAACCAGAGATGTGTAGAGTGAATTAAGAGACTAATTCAACTATCTGCTATCTACAAAAACTCATTTCGAATATAATGATATGGGCAGGTTGAAAATCAAAAGACATATTCTACAATGTTAATCAAAATAAATCAAATTGCTATAGTAATGTCACATAAAATGAATTTCAGAACAAAGAGAATTATCATATGAAAATATATACTTTATATAATAAAGGGTGCAATCTACCCAGAAAACACAACAATCCTAAATATGCATGCACAATAGAACAGAGGTATAATATATGTGAAGTCAAAACTTAAAGAATTGAAATGATAAATAGACAAACCCACAATTATAATTGGGACATCAACATCCCTCATTTAATATTTGGTAGAAGAGCTAGAGAGAGAATTCACACTTATCTGAAAGAACTAAACAATACCATTAACCAACAGGATCTTATAGAACACTCAACAAAAGCAGAGTATACATTCAAGAGAAAACATTTCAAATATGAAAAGTATCACCTCAAGAATCTGGTAATATAAGAGAAAAATAAACACAAAACAAGCAGAAGGATGAGCAGAAAAAAACCTAATCCAGAAAAATAGTATAGGAAATGTATTAACTAACATCTGTAAAATAGACAGACCTCTAACCAGACTGATAAAGAAGGAAGAGAAAACACAAATTTCCTGTATCAGCAAAGAAGCATGGAATATTGCTAAAGATCATGCACACAGTAAAATAATAAAGGGATACTGTATATAAATCTATACAAATAAATTGGTCAACTTAGATGAAATGAACCAACTCTTTGAATAATATAAAACATCACAACTTATCCAATATAAAATAGGTCATTTAAATAAATTTATAATTACTAAACCCATTGAGTTTATAAATTAAAAATTCCTAAAGCAGAAATCTTTCATCCTAGATCATTCCACTGAATGAGCAAAATTTTAAGAAAGAATTATCACCAATTCTATACAATACTTTCCAGAAAACAGAAAAGCTGGTTATATACCATGACCAAGTAAAATTTGCAAAGTTAGTTTAATACAGTCACTCATCTCTTAACAATGGTTACATGTTCTGAGAAATGCATTGTTAGGCAGTTTCATCTTTGTGCAAACCTAGCTGGTACAGCCTCCTGCATACCTAGGCTAAGTGGTATAGCATATTGCTCTTAGACTACAAACCTGTACAGCGTGTTAGTTTATTGAATAGTATAAGGAAATATTAACACAGTGATAATTATGTATGGGATAGGAACTTTTTAGCTCCATTATAATCTTACAGAACCACCATCTTCTACATAGTCCATCCTTGATCAAAACACCATTATAGAGTGCATAACTGTATTTGAAAATCAGTCTGTGTAATATAACATATTAATAGGCAAAAGAAGAAAAACCACATTTGCCAATCAATTCTAGCATTGAAAAAGCATCTGATAAAATTCATCAAAAATTTGTGACAAAAAGTCCTAGAAAATAAGAATGAGAAAACTTCCTCAACTTTATGTTGCTGATTTTCATATAATTACATTTAATTTATGTGAAGAAATTTGTTGAATATTTTTTTCCCTTTGTAATCGTTCCCATTTTCACATGATGATTGCTGAGAAGTCATAATAAATGGTAAATTAAATCACATCATTATAGTTGAATAATTTCAAAGGCAATATTATTAGAAAGTCTCTCAATACTTACATAAAAATAGTACTATAGTTGTTACAAAATGGAATAGAGACTGTAAGATAAATGATCTAGAGCAATGAATGTATTAATGAACTCTGAGAATTAAAATAGATTTTACTAAATTTGTCTTTGGTCTATTAAAAAACTATTAAAAGTATTACAATATTGCTACTTTTAATTAAACTGATTTTTCCATGAATAGTTGCATTTCTTGTAATTTGATTAAACTGTTAAGCTAGAATAAGAAAGAAATGAAAAAATAAAGTAATATTAAAATATTCAGTATATGTAAATCATTTTGCATTCTTTGTTAATAGTATTTTTCAGGGAAACAAGAAACAATTATAATAGAATGTAGTTTTCAAGCATTAAAATATAAGGCAAAAGGAGATAGTACCTTGTATATATTTTAGGGAGGTGACATGATAGCAAGTTAAGATTTGTGGAATAATATAGATCAGAATTAAGATGACATAAAATGCCAAATATAAAATTTTCAGTCTCATATTAGGATGTCAAATCATTAAAATAAGATGTAAAGCAGTGGTGTTCTAACTATGATGTAAAAGAAGACAAAATAATCATTAATTTCAGAAGATATTATATATCTCACAACCACATACATATAGAAATACCCAACTTATACAATAAAGAAAATCAACTAGAAATGTTGATTCAAATTTTTGTTGGTTTACTTAGGATATGTAAATGAAAAATAAGTATTTCAAAAATATTAAGAGATTTACTGCATGCCATTCATACAGTTTAAAATAAAATTAAAATTTAAGAATATTGGTTCACAGTAGAATAAATATATTATACACATACATTTTTAAAACACTATAAATTTTTACATAGACAAAAATATATGTGTTTACCAAGAAACAAACTAGATAAGAATGAATAGAAAACAACATGTTCTTGAAGAGAATAAATTGAAGATAACAAGTACCTCTGAAAGTATGTTTAGATTTAATGAAAATTTAAATAATGTTATTATGTAACTTTTGAAATTTTAGAGTTATTTCATAGTTCATCTAGATTTACAACTGTTGAAAATATCTGAGAAATTGTGTGCAAAAATAATACTGGGCTGCTTTCAATACAAATATAAAAGCAACTTATATCAATTTAAATAATATAGTACTAGCAAATGAATAGGCAGACAATTCAGAAGATTCAGTCAAGAACAGTAAGATTAGAATGCAGAACCCCCTACTCCCAATAGAGTGCCTTAAGTGAGGTCAGAGAGGTCAGGAGGCAGCCAATAGTGTTTTTTGAAACACTAAAGGCTTTTAGCAGAGAATGTCATGTTGAAACATTTGTTTCTCAAGACCACTTTGGCCCAGTTGACTTCTCTCTCTCTGTACTGAAAGCTTCTTTTCCCTGGTATCCATTAATACCTCATTCTTCTCATTTTCTTCTTACTTGTTTCTTTGTATAATCTCTAGCTCGTTTGTCCTTTTCTAATCAATCTTTAAATATTAGTTATATGTACCCTTATATTTTTAACTTATACTCCCTTCAAATCCATATTGTTCATCCACATAGCTTCGTTGCCCTTGACATACTGATCAATGAAATAATAATAACAAAGCATGCATCAGCTTAATTGTGACCTGATTGTCACAATTTATAATAATGTAATTATTGATTCAGTTTCTTGATTAATGGTTGATCCTCTGCCCTCTCATTAAATTATAATGTCCTTGAAATCAGGCACGTGCTGATTTTAGCTCACCTATAAATATTTGGACCTATCACAGTGCCCAATAAATTATAGAAAACAAATAAAAATATTAACATAAAACACAAAGGAAGGAAGAATTTAAGTATAAATAGTCAAACGCAAACTGTAATTTAGCATAGAGTTACTGAACACTAACACACAGACAGCAGATTGCAACTGAAGCTATGACAGTGTTTGAAATTACTCTGCAAAATTTAGAGTTAGAAAAGGAGTTGGCAAACTACAACCTGTTGGCCTAATCTAGCTCCCCACCTGGTTTTGTAAATAGAATTTACTGGAACACAACCACACCCATTTATTTATGTATCATCTATGACCTCTTTCACACTACAATGGCAGAGTATTGTAGCCATAACAGAGACCATTTATGACTAACAAACGCTAAAATATTTAACATTTGGCTGAGTATTGAAAAAGTTTGCCAGCCCCTGCGTTATATCAGCAGGCTTCAGTAAATGCCTAGGAGAAACATTAATCTTTCTCTGAATCAGAAGCAGGAATTATAAAGGAAGACTAAAGAAGACAAAGAATGGAGGGAAACCAATACAGTATTAAAGAAATACCAATACGGACTTAAAGAAAACCTATGGAAAACAGAAGAAAATATTATTTTAATAAACACAGTGATTATTATCCTCATCTGCCATATGAAAAGCTCTCACAGTAAAGTATAAGTAGTATTCACTGAATTTAGGACATCCTAATGCATGCTACCATGAAGATGGTATTTGCAATGGGATGGTGAATAAGGTACTCATCAATTGGCTCTATAGTTTCACTAGAGTAGACATTAATTACAAAACATGTGCATTTCAAATGAATGGAGGAAAATTATATAAAAATATCTGTGGTGGAGCTTAAAATTTTATATTTTGTGATAAAAATCATATGTGTATTATACATGTACTTATGTGTCGATGGGTTCACTGTAACATTGAATTTTGAATGTTTAATTCATTAGCTAAAATAAGACTTTTCTGAGAACTATTTTACAGATTAGCACCTTCTTTCTATATAAAAGGCAATATAATATATGGGTTTAAGTATTGTATTCACATCCTAGTGAGAGAGAAAAGTTAGCTAGTTAGGGTGGGTCCTTGGTAAAATTACTTTTAACAGAGAAACAGCTGAAAAATCAGGCTGCAGACTCAGATAAGGAAACTTGCACAAACCTCTGACTCACTCGAATAAAGAAACGGCCCAACATAGAAACACCTTTGTTCTTTGTGCCTAAAGACATGCTCACAACTACAGTGATAAGGGAAAAAGACCCAATCATATATATATAACCAGTGGGCTTCCAGTAAATAGTCTCTTCTCCTTTTGTAGTCATGCACAGGGTGGGCTCTGGTGGGTTCCAGTGAACACTTTCCTTTTCTGGACAGGCTTTGGACTGTGAGTTGAGCCACTGTGAATCATCACTTCAGCTCCTGATTGGTCCCAGGCCAAGGTGCCATGCCAAGCTGAATAGCACTTTGTCCAAGACCAGTCAGTACATTCCTTACCTTCCCAGTCCATAAAAATCCCGGACCCCAGCCTGATAGTGGGCAACCACTTGGCGCCCTCTCTCCTTGGCAGAGAGCTGTCTTCTTCCATCACTTTTGGATTAAACTTCCTCATCTGAAAAACATGAATGAGGGGACCAATATTAATGCCATTGAGTTGCCATAATAAATAATAAAATTATGTTTACCAAGGGCTTAGTATAGTGTCTAACATATAACACTTCTCCATAAAAGTTAGCAGTTATTATTGCTGATGATTATTGAAAGTAGGACACCTGGAGATAGCGGATTAGATGCAGCCATGTGGAACAGCTGCCACTGAGGAACCTAGAGGACTAGCACACTCCTAGCAGATCTTCAGAGGGAAGGCACAGAGAGTGGATGCAGGAAGTAGCAGAAACTAGGGTAAAGGGGGAGGATGCTGGGAACACTACACAGGGCTATGCACACCAGGACTCGTTCCTGGCCCCCAACAACGCTGGTGGAATGGGTGAGTTGAACTAGCACGGAGTAACCTGCTCTTGCCATGGGCTTCCAGAAAACCAGCATTAGGAGACCCTTCAACCACCATGAACACTAGAGTTGGCAGGGAGCTGTCTAAAGAAATGGTAGGGGAAGCATGCCAGATGAGATGGAGTCCAGAGGGTTTGGTACAAGAGCATTTGTAGTGGAACACAGCCAGGGAAGCCCATATGCCTAGGCTTGACTTGCTCCCATAGGAGTCTTTAGCCCTAGAGAAACTGTTGGACCTGAACTCTGCAGACTGTTCTCAGCCATCAGGTGGGACTGGGCTTACCTGAGCACTCCTTATTCTGCTATACTTTCTAGGACCCCAGCCTGGTCACACCTGCCTGCAGGGCAGCCTTGGGTGCCCTGAATGCCAGCATCATAGCTCTTGTGTTAGCGGACCATCCCTGACCAGGGGAGAGCTTCAGCAGGGTGGCCCCCATAGTCACCCACCAGCCCACCTACCCACCCACTTCCTCCCGGCACTGCAGTTTCCCCTAGGCCCATGGTAACCCCCACATCGCTTTGCTGGTGCATGTGTGCATGGGAAGGTTTTGTTTTCCTTGACCCACCAGAGTACATGTATGCATTCACCCTCCTCTGCCACTGCTATGAAGTGCACTCCACCTTTCCCCCTCCCCACCAGACAGCCATTGGACTCAGAGCCTTGGTGGGAACAGAGCAAGCCAGGCCCACTCTCGCCATGACTTGATCTTGCACCAACACTGCCCATAGGAGTGAAACTAGGCACAGAGAACAGTGGACCCTCCCCCACCCAGAGCAACCAACTCTACCTCTAGCTCACAGCACACACAGACCCATGCCTGCAAGAATCCTGCCCCTGTGCTAACACCATCACCCATATGAGCACATGCACAGTCACCAACAGAGGCCCTTCACCCCTACACCTAGCCACACTACCTCTACCACTGCGGTGAATGCCTGCACAGAGGCAGGCACCTTGCACCCATTAGAAGCTGATGAATATGCACCTTGCTGCAGTGCCCCTGCTGCTGCTGGCACATGAGAGGAGGATGGATCCTGTTGCCACCGCACTATGAATCATGTTGACTGACACCACCCATTGAAGTGTAGTGACTAGTAGTCCAAGAGCACCTTTGCTGCCGCAGCACAGTGGATTCGCAACCAGGAGGAGCCACGGAACAAAGTCAGGGCACCATTCAAGTCCCTGAGAGTTACAGCATGAAGTCCAGGAGTTGGGAGTCAAGCATTGGCCCACCAAAATCTTCCAGAAATGAAGCCAGTTGGTTGAATTCATCTTATACCACAATCAAACACTCAAGGTCATAAAATAGGGTGAAAGAAAAAAAAAATCGAAAGGTCAGCAGCTTCAAAGATTGAAGAAACATCAGTCCACAAAGATGAAAAACAACCAACACTAGAACTCTGGTAACTTAAAAAAGCTAGAGTGCCTTATTTCCTCCACTCAACCACACCACCTCTCCAGCAAGGGTCCTAAACCAGGCTGAAATGGCTGAAATGACAGAAATGAATTCAGAATACGATAAGAATGAAGATCATTGAGATGAAGTACGTTGAAACTCAATTTAAGAAAGCTAAGAATCACACAAAACAATATGGGAGCTCACAGACAATAGTGTAGAAAAGAATGGAACTTACCAGATAGAGCTGAAAGCACACTACAAGAATTTCATAATGCAATCATAAGTATTAATAGAGTAGATCAAGCTGAGAAAATAATCTCAGAGCTTGAAGATTGACTTTCTGAACAAGACAGTCACATAAGAATAGAGAAAAAAAGAATGAAAAGGAATGAACAAAACCTCCAAGAAATGCAGATTTGTATAAAGAGATCGGAACTGTGACTCACTGGTGTTCTTGAAAGATGGGGAGAGGGTAAGCAACTTGGAAAGCATATTTTAGGCTATCATCCATGAGAACTTCCCTAACCTAGCTAGAGAGACCAACATTTAAATTCAGGAAATTCAGAGAATCCCAGTATGATAGATCAAGAAGATCATTCCCAAGACATAGTAATCAGATTATTCAATGTCAAAATGCAAAAAAAAAAAAAAGGGGGGGGTTAAAAGCAGCTAGAGAGAAAGGTCAGATTACCTACAAAGGGAAGCCCATTAGACTAGCAGCAGACCTCTCAGCTGAAACCCAACAAGCCAGAAGAGATTTGGAGGCCACTACTTAACATTCTTAAGAAAAATAAATTTCAACCCAGAATTGCATATCTGACCAAACTAAACTTCCTAAGCAAAGGAGAAATAAGATCTTTTTCACATAAGCAAATGCTGAAAGAATTCATTATCACCATACCTGTCTTACAAGAGCTTCTGAAGGTAGCACTAAATATGGAAAAGAAAGACCATTACCAGCCACTACAAAAACACACTGAAGTACACAGAACCATTACATTATAAAGCACTCACACGAATAATTTTGCGTAATAGCCAGCTAACATCAAATGCACACATATCCATACTAACATTGAATGTTAGTATGGGTTAAATGCCCCAATTAAAAGGTACAGAGTGAAAGCTAGATAAAGACTCAAAACCCATTGGTATGCTGTCTTCAAGAGACTCATTTCACATACATGACACCATAGACTCAAAATGAAAGGACAGAGAAAAATCTACCAAACAAACAACAATAATAACAATTTAAAAAAACAAAAACAAAAAACAGAAAAAAGGAGGTGTTGCAATCCTAATTTCAGACACAACAAACTAAATACTAACAGATGAAAAAAGGGTTCAATTCAACACAAAGACCTACCTATCCTTAATATATATGCACCCAATACAGGAGCACCCAGATTCATAAAGAAAGTTCTAAGAGACTTTCAAAAAGACTTAGACTCTCACACATTAGTAGTAGGAGACTTCAACATCCCACTAACAGTATTAGACAGATCATGGAGGCAGAAAATTAACAAAGATATTCAGGACCTGACCTGAGCACAGGATCAAATGTAACTGATAGATATCTACAAAACTCTCTACTCAAAAGCAACAGAATATATATTCTTATTGCCAAATAGCACATATTCTAAAATTGACCATATAATCAGAAATCAAACACTCCTTAACAAATGCATAATAAATGAAATCATAACGACCACCCTCTTGGAAAACAGTGCAACCGAATTAGAAGTCAAGACTAAGAAATTTGCTCAAAACCATAAATTACATAAAAATTGAATAATCTGCTTCTGAATGACTTTCAAGTAAACAGTAAAATTAAAGCAGAAATCAAGAAGTTATTTGAAACTAATGAGAGAGAAAAAAAAAAATACGACACACCAGAATCTCTGGAACACAGTGAAGGCAGTGTTAAGAGGTAAATTTATAGCACTAAGTGCCCACATGAAAAAGTTAGCAAGATCTCAAGTTAATAACCTAATATCACAACTAAAATATCTAGAGAACAAAAAACAAATCCCAAAGCTAGCAGAAGACAAGAAATAACTAAAATTAGAGCTGAACTGAAGGAGAATGAGATACAAAAATAACAAGTGAAAGATCAATAAATTAAGGAGTTTCTTTTGAAAAAAAATAAAATAAAATAGACTACTAGCTAGACTAATACAGAAGAAAAGAGAGAATTTCCAAGTAAACACATTTTAGGAATGATAAAGGAGATATTACCACTGACCCCATAGAAACGCAAATAACCGTCAGAGAATATAATGAACATCACCATATAGATAAACTAGAAAATCTAGAAGAAGCATAGAAATTCCTGGACACATAAACCCTCCCAAGATTGTGCCAGAAAAACATTGAAATATTAAACAGATCAATAGGGAGATCTGAAATTGAGCCAGTAATAGATAGCCTACCAACCAGAAAAAGCCCAGGACCCAGGACCAGACAGATCCACAGCTGAATTCTGCCAGGAAGAGCTGGTACCATTTCTACTAAAACTATTCCAAAATATTGAGAAGGGACTCCTCCCTTATTCTACCTATGAGGCCATCATTATCCTGACAATAAAACCTAGCAGAGACACAATAAGAAAAAAAAGGAAATTTCAGGAAAATATCTTTATGAACATTGGTGCAAATATCCTCACACAAAATACTGCCAAATTGAATTCAACAGCACACCAAAAGGTTTACAACCAGGTATGCTTTATCCCTGGGATGCAATGTTGGTTCAGTATACAGAAATCAATAAATGTGAGACATCACGTAAACAGAACTAGAGACAAAGACCACACGATTATCTCAATAGATGCAAAAAAGGTTTTCAATAAATTCAACACCATTTTATGTTAAAAACTCTCAATAATCTAGATATTGAAGGAAAATACCTCAAAATAATAAGAGCCATCTATGACAAAACCACAGCCAACATCATACTGAATGAACAAATGCTGGAAGCAGTCACCTAAAAAACCAGCACAAGACAAGGATGCCCTTTTTTATGACTACTATTCGACATAGTATTGGAACAACTGGCCAGAGCAAACAAATAAAGTCCATCTAAATGGGAAGACAGGAAATCAAACTATCCCTGTGTGAAGATGACATGATCCTATACCTAGAAAACCCCAGTCTCCTTTCACTGATAAACAACTTCCGTAAAGTTTCATAATACAAATTCAATGTGGAAAAGTCACTAGCATTCCAATGCACTGACAACAGCCAACCCAAGAGCCAAATCAGGAACTTAATCCTATTCACAATTGCCACAAAAAGAATAAAATACCTAGGAATATAGGAATATAAAATACATAGGAATATACCTAGGAATATAGGTACAAAAATCTCTATAAGGAGAACGATAAAACACTGCTCAAAGAAATCAGAGATGACATAAAAAACTGGAAAAATATTTCATGCTCATGGATAAGAAGAATCAGTATCATTAAAATGACCATAATGCCTAAAGCAATTTATAGATTCAATGATACTCCTATCAAACTAACAATGACATTCTTCACAAAACTAGAAAAATAATTGAAAAATTCATATAGAACCAAAAAAAGAGCCCCAAAAAACCAAGCCAATTCTAAGCAAGAACATAGCTGGAGGCATTGTGCTACCTGACTTCAAACTATACTCCATAGAGAGGCCAGAAATAAGGTCACATACCTAAAACTATCTGATCTTCAACAAAGCTGACAAAAACGAGCAATGGGCAAAGGACTACCTATTTAATAAATGGTGCTGGGAATTGGCTGGCCACATGCATAAGATTGAAACTGGGCCCGTTCCTTATACTACATACAAAAATAAACTAATGATGGATGAAAGGCTTAAATCTAAAACCCCAAACTATACAAACCCTGAAAGACAACTTGACAATACCATTCAGAACACAGGCACAGGCAAAGATTTCATGACTGTATATTTAAGAACTAATAGGAGATATATATATATATGTGTGTCTCCTAATATATAAACTCCCCTATATATATATATATTAAGTATTAACTTACATGATCACATGGTCCCATGGTAGGCTGTCTGCAAGCTGAGGAGCAAGGGGAGCCAATCACAGTCCCAAAACTGAAGAACTTGGAGTCCGATGTTCAAGGACGGGAAGCATCCAGCACAGGACAAAGTTTTAGGCTGAGAGGCTAGGCTAGTCTCTCCTTTTCATGATTTACTGCCTGCTTTATACCCAATGGCAGCTGATTAGATTGTGCCTGCCAGATTAAGGGTAGATCTGCCTTCCCTAGACCAATGACTCAAATGTTAATCTCTGTTGGCAACACCCTCACAGACACACTCAGGATCAATACTTTGTATCCTTCAATCCAATCAAGTAGACGACAGTCAGTAGTAATCATCACAATGACAAAGTCGCCAAAAGCAATTGCAACAAAAGCAAAAGTTGACAAATGGGGTCTAATTAAACTAAAGGGCTTCCGCACACACACAAAAAGAAAGTATCAGCCAAGTAAACAGACAGCCTACATAATGGGAGGAATGTGTTGCAAACTATGCATCTGATAAAGGTCTAATATCCAACATCTATAAGGAACTTTTAAGTTCATGAGAAAAAAAAACACCCTTTAGAAAGTGGGCAAATGGCATAAATAGACACTTTCCAAAAGAAGATACACATGCAGCCAACAAGCATATGAAAAAAAAGCACAATATCACTAATTGTTAGGGAAATGAAAGTCAAAACCATGATGAGATACTATGTCACACCAGTCAGAATGACTATGATTAAAAAACTAACAGACGTTGGCAAGGTTGTGGAGAAAAAGGAACACATCCACTGTTGGTGGGAGTGTAAATTAGTTCAGTCTTTGTGGAAAACAGCGTGGTGATACCTCAAAGACCTAAAAACAGAACTACCATTTGACCCAGCAGTTTCATTACTGTGTATATATATATGCAAAGGAATAGAAATCATTTTATCATAAAGACACGTGCACATGTATGTTCATTGCAGCACTGTTTACAATAGCAAAGAAATGGAATCAACATAGGTGCCCACCATTGGTAGACTGGATAAAGAAAATGTGGTAGAAACATATCATGAAATACTAAGCAGCAATAAAAAAGAAGATCATGCCCTTTGTAGAAATATGGATGAAGCTGGAGGTCATTATCTTTAGCAAACTAATGCAGGTACAGAAAACCAAATATCACATGTTCTCACTTATACCTGGGAGTTAAAAGATGAGAACTCCCACACATAGAGGAAAGTAAGAGACACTGAGGCCTACCGGAGGGTACAGTGTGGGAAGAGGGAAGGAGGGATCAGGAAAAATAACTAATACATACTAAGCTTAATACCTAAGTGACAAAATAATCTGTACAACAAACCCCTGAGACATGTATCCCTGAATTTAAAATAGAAAGTTAAGATAAAATGAAGTAGAAAGCGGTTGAAGGAAACAAAATGTTTTATCCATTCTGTGGCATGCAAAATGCAAAAAGAAAAATTCTAAATTAAACGAACTTTCTACATAGTATACATCAATATATTTTGTTGCTTCCCCATCTAATATGCAGTTTTCAACTCAGTTTTCTCCCAAGTGTCACAATTATTCAACCAACTAGCATTATTGGAAATAATTTAATCTACTCACTATGCTAGTATTATTCAGAGTGTGTATAAAGTCTATTTCATTGTGTGTGTGATAGAGAGCAAGAGAGAACAAGTGATATTGAGGCAGAAACCACACATATGAGAGAGAAATAGAGGCATTTGTGTGTATAGATGTGTGTGCTTGTGTCTTTGTTATTGATCTACCCTGCTCTTACTACTAAAGAATATATATAAGTATGCTCTAAAACACATTTTAGGTTCATTGACCTATTCTGAAGTATACTTTAATTTATAAAGTCTTGTTATAAAAAGTTATGAAAGTTAAATGTTTATAATATTAATGAAGATAAAGCATTATATTTGGGGAGTTTTCATTATTTTCCAATTTATCCTTTAAGGGCTGTCTTAATTGCTTAGCGTAATAACAGTAATTTATCGAAAAGTTCTAATTTTTTTTGACTAATGGCAAAACAAACAAAAAGATGCATATGCTAATGAAATAATTGAAATGGAAAATCTTGGAATGATCAACATTTGAAATGTACTTTATTTTCCTTTTAGAGATTAGTATCAGAAGTTATTTTTAATGTCTCTTGGATGTCTTAACTATTATTTAATAAATAGATAAAATAATATATTGAGTAATCAGATTTCAATAATTTTCTAAAAGCATCATAAACAATGTATTTTTAGATGATGTATTTTTTAGATGTTAGATTGGGACGTTCAATTATCTTAAATAAAAATGTATGAGATCAGTTTGTATCATCTGACTCTCTGGAGATTAGAGAGCCATGCACAAGCGTAAGGATTTTCACTATTTACTTAGACCTTAATAAATAAATACTTAATAAATACTCAAGTGAGTTTGAGCAAGCAATTTTTAAAGCATTTATTCTTAATATTCAGAATACTTGGCTATCGACACTAATTAACACATCAAAAATGACTAAGGAACATTTCTAAATGTCTTACATTTTTGTAGCATTTTTTTCAAATATGCAAACCATTTCACCTAAAATTCTGATTTGTATGTTCCAAAAAGAAACAGGCCTAAAATATTGTTTTCTTGATTACATAATGTTGATTTCTGTCAGTTTTGTAAGTCATATCTCCATTAAATACTCCCTATAGAGAATAACTGATTATCTTTCAGTTATACTTTAAAAAAACTAATGTTCTAGAAACAGGTATGGGTGAATCCTGAAAAATAATTTAATCATTTTGATTGGCAAATTGTCTTGTCCATTATGTCTCTCTGCTATGATGGCCAACCAGGATGTGCCCTGCTGAGCTAACAAAAATTAACAGCGGGACAACAACTTACTCTGATCATACCAGGTGCCCAGAGGAATGAATCTCTAAAGGACATCACTTTGTAAGTAGGTACTTATGACCAGACCTCCCTGTAAAGTTAATAGTGTTAATTAGAAGTTTACCAGGAAATCTCTAACTATAAAATATTTTTAGCCAGATGTATATAGTCTTTCTAGATTGCTTAGTGCATTTCAAAGAGGAATGTATGCGTTTATGGAACATGGCTGGCTGGAAAATGGGTGGGGGAGTGTCACAGAACCACTTTCCTCCCTATGTAATTAGCAACTTATAAAAGAGCTACACAACAAAAATGGCTTTGCTTATGAATAGTATTTCTACATGTACTGCTTGAAACTTGTCCTTTAACCTGAAACCAAAACATTGACTAATGAGGAAGAAGAAAAGAGAATCTTGGAAGGTACATCTGAGAGTTTGAAGTTTCTTCAGGAATGGATTGTTTAGTTTGTTTCTGGTGATGGTAAATCTGGAGCAGCTGCTGTGAAGACAGCGGCTGCAGCAGAGGAGGCATGACTGGGGCTGCATGCTCCATGGAACTAGCAGGAGCCGGGAAAAGGCAGGAACCCTACCCTCTTCTGAGTTGGCTCAGCTGTGGACTTGGGCATCCCTGTGCTTACAGGGGCCCAAGAAGTCCCCCTGCCCCTGCAGGCTTGGGAATGCCTGCTCTTGCTACCTGGCCTCTCCTGGCCCCTGGCACCTGCTCTAACTTCAGAGCAAAGTTGAAACCGCACCTGGGCACTGTTGTGACCTGGCTGGGTGTACATGCACTTGGGGCAGCACTGACACGTGAGCCCCGTGCTGCCTCAGCACCCTCCGGACTTTGGGTGTCAATGAGCATGGGAGAGAAGCTGATGGGGGCTGCTGAGGGCAGCTGGTTATGAGCCTGCAGGAGCCCCTCAGCACGAACAGCCTGGAGGCCATAGATTATATGTAGATGGTAGCAGGGGGCAGATAGACTCCTGGGTGGAAAAAGGTTAGTTCCTGGTGATGCCCCACCTTCAAGCCAAGGATGGGCTGAAGCATAAGGGCCAGGATGTCAGTTCCAGGTGGAGTCTTCTGGCCTAGAATGAGAACTTATGCTTTATCCTGGCCCTGCCATGGCTGTCCATGGATGAATCAGCAGGTACTTCCTCTCTTCTAAACCCCAGAAAAACCCCAGACTCAGACTCACAGAGATGTTGGGATGACCTTCCTGTGGTTAGGAGCTACTCATTCCAGGTCTTCCCTCTGCTGAAGGCTGCAGACTCAATGGGACAACCTGCCTGCAGATAGGAGCTGCCCACTCTGTGTCTTCTCTCTGCTGAGAGCTGTACAGATATCGGGAAGACTTGCCTCTGGATAGACGCTACCCACTCCAGGTCTCCTCTCTGCTGAGTGCTGCATTCCTTGGGATGAACTGCCTGTGGAAAGGAGTCACCCACTTCAGGTCCCCTGAGAACTGTACTGTCACTCAGTAAAGCATCTTTTCACCTTACTCACCCTCCAGTTGTCTGTGTCACCTCATTCTTCCTGGACATAGGACAAGAGCTTGGGACTTGCAGAATGACAAAGCTGGAAGAACTGTAATACAAACAGGGCTGAAACATGTCCCCTATCACCTGCTCTCCATGTTGCGGGTGGTGAGGAGAGAAGAGTTGTGGTCTTTCCAGGATCCCAGACCTAGGAGCTCCCTGACCCAGGGCTGTGACATCTTCTGTGGGGTTCTGTGGTTTCTGACATCTCCATCTCCAAGCTTCTGGGTGCCACTGCGTTCCCCTCGTCCAGACATAGGTGCCCACAGCGGGAGCTACTTATGGTACATCTGATCCAGCCACAGGCTTGCATGGAGCCAGCACCTGTGCCAGTGCATGGAACTTCCTGCCCCACCACAGCAGCCAGTGTACCTGGGTGTGCACAATGGCCAGACCCCACACTCGCTTGCTCACACAACCTTCACCACTCCGTGCCTTGCTTGCCCTCAGCAGGCATGGGATCTGGGCCGGTAGCATGAGCCACGTGCAGCCTGCCAGGCTGAGTGGGTGGAACGAGCCCAGTGGGCCCAAGCAAACCTTGGGCAAAGGTGCCACTGGCCATAGAGGCTTCTGGCTGAAAAGTGACACCCTAAGGATACTGTGACACTGGTGCCTACCTTCACTGTTTAAATCATTATTAAAGTTTTGAGCTGAAAGTGATCTGTCACCAGTGTCTGCTTTGACATTTAAAGATTCGTGGTAAAAATGATTGGTGGTAGCTGTGGGATTACCTGTTAGACCCATAAATTATAACGTCTAAGGCATTATTTGGCAAGGCAAGGAATGAGTTTGGAAATAATGTGAATTTGATGTTGGGATGGTTCGCTAAGCATTCTTGGTGTTAATGGAACTTATCATTTGCTAGACACGGGGAATGCAATGGTAGAAAAGATGGACATAATATTTTTATTAGATTTGTCTTCATGGTCATTAGAGTCATTATAACAATTTCCATAAATTAGTGATTGAAAACAACACAGATTTATTGTTTTACAATTCTGAATGTCAGAAGTCTGAAATAGGTCTTACTGGGTTAAAGTCAAGGTGTCAGCAGAGGGTAAGATTATGTACATTTCTGAAGGCTGTAAGGGGCAATCACTTTTTTTTGCCCTTTCTGCTTTCTAGAGGCCACCCACTTTCCTTGGTTCATGCCCCTCTTTAATCTTGAAAGTCTGGGATGGCTACTTGAGTCTTTCTCACATCCAATCACTCTGACACTGACTCCTCCTTGACCTCCCCAATTTACGTTTAAGGACCCTAGCTGGGTAGCATGCTCCTATAATCCCAGGAGTTCAAAGCTGCAGTGAGCTATGATTGCATTACTGTGCTCCAGCCTGTATGACACCGTGAAACTCTATCTAAAAAAAAAAAAAACAAAAAAAAAAACAAAAAAGTATGTTTGTGATTTCATTGGGGCCACCCATATGGTACACAATAATTTTCCTATTTTAAGGTCAGCTGATTAGAAACTTTAATTGCATCTGCAATTTCAATTCCCATTTGTAATGTAATATAACATATTCACATATGAATTAGAACATTTTTGTGGTTATTCATAAAGCCTGAAGATACCCAGATTTTATATTAATATTTTTGACTCTAATTGCCTTGCTCTATTTATTTTTTATTTAAAAGCTGTGAAAATGTTTGTGTTGTTCTAAACAATTATCATTTGGATGTCTTGCACTTTGTGTCTTACAGCAACACCATAGTACAAAGTAATGTCTGTATAGCACAAGCAATGTAAGTCAGGATGGCATTATTTGCCTCTTTATTTTACAAAAGGAAAAACAATGAAGGCTTGAAAAAATATTTGATTATTCCACCAGGCATAGCTAGGAGCACTGAAACTAAAAAACATAGTTTTCTGTTTTTGAAATCTTTGTATTCTAATCTATGTTCAGATGTTTTACTGTATATTTTTAAACATAAATTTCCATTAATCTGTATGAGGTTACTAAAAGATGGCTAATATATAGCTACTAGGAAAATCCATACATATTTTCACATTTTTGCTCAAAGGATGTCTCATTCAGGTAAACTTTCCAGACCTACCCATACAGAACTAGTCTTTCTCTAAAGCACCATGTTTTAACACATATGAGTATATCTGATTCATGTTGATTTTATTTCCAAGGTTTAACCTTTCTTATAACTTTATAAATCACGCATAGTTCTATATACCCACCATAACCAATTATTTGCAATAATAATAATATTAAAGAATTTGAGTATTTATGTTTTAGTAATAACTTCAAAATTCTTACTTTTCTTTAAGTGGCATAGCCTTGCTCAATTTGACAAATCAGTAGAGTTGAGAATTATTTTTTTTTAGCTTAACAATCAAAGTCAAGACAAACTTACTAATTTTTGTTATTCTCACCTACTTTTTTTCTGAATAAAGAGATTGCCATATTCTGTGCCTTTCACTTAAAAAGACCAGGAATACACACATTTAAAGCTAAAAAAAAAAAAAAAAAAAAAGAATAATATAAGCAATTATGTTTCCTGTACCATGCTTGTGTCTTTTCTATAACTCATGTCTTTGGTGATTATTTGGACTAGTAATGAAATTGGGCTACTAAAATTTAACTTAACATCATGTAAGGCATGGAGTAAAATATTGATAATGTAAAACCTAAATAATTTTCAACAAAACAGTAAGAGTTTACTACCCAAAAGAGAATAATTTGTGTTTTTGAGATTTTTTAAACTAAGCATATAAATTGTTTTTGAGATTTTTTAAACTAAGCATACTCTAAAGCTCATTTCTAATTGTCACTAATACTGATTTAATCAGAACTTTGCTTTCATACTAAATATTATTTCTTGAATGAAAGATTACACATAAAACTATTCAAGTGGATTATTCTTTAAAATCATGACCAGTAAGTATGATTACAATGTAGCTTCATATTGCTGGATAATTATGAAGCTGCCATCAGTGGATTTTGGTAACCATGGGGGTTCTGGAACAAATTCTCCATGAAAACCAAGGGACAACTGTATTTATACAAATATATGAACACCTCTTCATTGGCAAGCAGACCAAAACAGTCAGAAGGCATGATGATGAAGTGGTTCCTAGCTCAGCTGCAGAGGCAGATCCTCTTGGTTCAAATCCAGGGTAGATACCTTGCTAGCCCTCTAGGCCACATTTCTAAAACTCCATGTGCCTACATTTCCTTATTGGAAAACCTGAATAATGACAGTCTAAGGGAATAAAAGAAGTTTTGACATATAATGTGCTTAACAAAATCTGACATAAGTGCTTAATTAAAGAAAGAAGTTCAAGATAAAGTCTTCTGAAATCTGGTATTTGTCATTTTGGTATATAAATTATCAATGAAACAAAAAATTTAATTAAATATCCATATTGATCTCAGTACTTTATTAGACAAAACTAGTCCTTAAGAAGCTCGTAAATTAGCACATGCCGTGCCTCAAGGTTGACAATATTAACTTGCCACTATCAGCTAGAATGGTTTCTTAGAATGAATTCAGTTCAACCATAAGGCAACTCTGCAGGCTATAGCACAAATCATCTAGGCAGGACATGTGTGCAGGTTCAGTGCCAGAAAGATACCCACTTACTTTCTGTGTGCTGGGCTCAAGTAGAATTACTGGAGGCAAGGAAGATTCCAAAGATTCACTGTGGAAGAATTTCAAGAAGGGCTGTATAGACATTGACTGCTGGGAAACTATATCTTCTGGAAGACCAGTGGAGCAAGCAATTATCATTTGGGGCCAAATGTCTAAAAGCTGATGAAAGAGAAAAACAGAGCTTACAACAATAATAGGCCATATCAGGTGTGACCTTTCAGAGGCCAGTGGAAGGATAAGCACGATTAGTATGGGGATCCCTGGAAGACATTGCAGGTACAAGATCACATGGACAAAACTCACTATTAAATATGATATTGTGACTTACTTGCAATTTTGTTACAATCAATCGATCAATTTCCTAATCATTATCCCATTAAACACTTTCAGTAATATTGTAAGATGATTGGGTAGTATTATTTTCATTTTGTAATTTGGGAAACTGAGAGTCAGAGATTTCAAGTTAGGTGCCCAATCCTAGATACTAAGCAGTCAAACAATGTCTAAAAACCAGATTTTTGAAATTCATTTTAAGATTATTTTAATTATTTTTATTTCATGTAAGAAAAACAATGATGTATCTGTATATAAGAAATAATGCAGATAAATGAAGTAATAAAGATAAATATTAAATAGATTAAATCAAAAAAGTAAGATTATTGGAAGTCCTCTTAACTAAATCTTTAGATATATTTTTCTTAGCCATGGAAGTATTTTTATTCTAACAAATAAAGGAAATTGATCTGCAATAAAAAATTTCTCCCCAGCTTATCTTTGACAAATTTGCTCTCCTTTGCTTATCTTTGACAAATTCAATTTTAAGAACAGTCATTAAATGGCAATTAGAATGGTTCAATACAATTTTCTGAATGGTTCAGTAGTGTTTACGTGTGTGATTTCTACATCTGTTGTTTAGCTTAGAAAGAACCCTTTATGTTTTCACATGTGGTATAAGAAATATTTCTTCTTTTGCCAGAGACATAGCTACTCTGTTTACAAAATCTTCAGATTTCATATGGGGCTATGTACGTTGCCATAAACCTTCACCAAAATAAAGCAGCAATCCCAGAACTGTTCTGTATTGCCGTTTTGCATTGCTTTCAGAATCAAAGTCTTTATACTTTTCTGCATTTTACCATGTAATCACCACAAAGAAAAAAACAACACAATGTTGGTTTAGCTAAGACTATACTTAAAGAAATAAATTTAATTTGGTGATTAACATATCTTACCAGGAATCAAAGCAGTTTTCTTTGTATTTCTTCTCAGCATGAATAAAACTACAACTCATTTAGCAGATTTCATTTTTTCTTTTCTTCCCTTGTTTCACCTTGTAATAGGACCTTGACTTCTTGCTCTCTCACCTGCCAGAGCTATAGTTTGCCATCCTGGGATATGTGAACAAATCTTCTTTCAATGTACATTTTAGGTTTCTGAATACAGAATTAAAAGGTTTTGAAAAATAGTGTATACGTTAACACAAATACCAAAGTAAGACTTTAATATCAATTTAATTAAATAAATTGACACTGTAGTTCCTCCAGTTTTCATTATAATCTTAAAGTTACAACAGGCTGACAGATTTCTGAACATAATTAAAACGCTAAACTTTCAATGCTTTTGAGTATAAAATGGAGTGTTTCTAGTATCACTACAGAAAGTATAATAACAGCTTCATTTTCAGCAATAAGTCCGTACACACATCGTTCTTTCCATGTTCCTCTTCCTATCACATCCCAAACTTGTATACTTGTGTATGTCTGTATCTAATTGATGCTTCTTTGATTATAAATGGTTTTATTACAGCATTAAAAAACTAATTTTAAATACCTATATAAGAATTTCGAGGGGGGCGGAGCAAGATAGCCGAATAGGAACAGCTCCAGTCTCCAACTCCCAGCGCGAGTGACAAAGAAGACCGGTGATTTCTGCATTTTCAACTGAGGTACTGGGTTCATTTCACTAGGGAGTGCCCAACAATCGGTGCTGGTCAGCTGCTGCAGCCCAACCAGGGAGAGCTGAAGCAGGGCGAGGCATCGTCTCACCTGGGAAGTGCAAGGGGGAAGGGAATCCCTTTTCCTAGCCAGGGGAACTGAGACACACAACACCTGGAAAAACGGTTAACTCCCACCCCAATACTGCGCTTTAAGGAAACGGGCACACCAGGAGATTATATCCCACACCTGGCCGGGAGGGTCCCACGCCCACAGAGCCTCCCTCATTGCTAGCACAGCAGTCTGTGATCTACCGGCAAGGCAGCAGCGAGGCTGGGGGAGGGGCGCCCACCATTGCTGAGGCTTAAGTAGGTAAACAAAGCCACTGGGAAGCTCGAACTGGGTGGAGCTCACAGCAGCTCAAGCAAACCTGCCTGTCTCTGTAGACTCCACCTCTGGGGACAGGGCACAGTAAACAATAACAAACACAGTAGAAACCTCTGCAGACGCAAACGACTCTGTCTGACAGCTTTGAAGAGAGCAGTGGATCTCCCAACACAGAGGTTGAGACCTGAGAAGGGACAGACTGCCAGCTCAAGTGGGTCCCTGACCCCTGAGTAGCCTAACTGGGAGACATCTCCCACTAGGGGCAGTCTGACACCCCACACCTCACAGGGTGCAGTACCCCCCTGAGAGGAAGTTTCCAAAGCAAGAATCAGACAGGTACACTCACTCTTCAGCAATATTCTATCTTCTGCAGCCTCTGCTGCTGATACCCAGGCAAACAGGGTCTGGAGTGGACCTCAAGCAATCTCCAACAGACCTACAGCTGAGGGTCCTGACTGTTAGAAGGAAAACTATCAAACAGGAAGGACACCTACACCAAAACCCCATCAGTATGTCACCATCATCAAAGACCAGAGGCAGATAAAACCACAAAGATGGGGAAAAAGCAGGGCAGAAAAGCTGGAAATTCAAAAAATAAGAGCACATCTCCCCCGGCAAAGGAGCGCAGCTCATCGCTAGCAACGGATCAAAGCTGGATGGAGAATGACTTTGATGAGATGAGAGAAGAAGGCTTCAGTCCATCAAACTTCTCAGAGCTAAAGGAGGAATTACGTACCCAGTGCAAAGAAACTAAAAATCTTGAAAAAAAAGTGGAAGAATTGATGGCTAGAGTAATTAATGCAGAGAAGGTCATAAACGAAATGAAAGAGATGAAAACCATGACATGAGAAATACGTGACAAATGCACAAGCTTCAGTAACCGACTGGATCAACTGGAAGAAAGAGTATCAGCGATTGAGGATCAAATGAATGAAATGAAGCGAGAAGAGAAACCAAAAGAAAAAAGAAGAAAAAGAAATGAACAAAGCCTGCAAGAAGTATGGGATTATGTAAAAAGACCAAATCTACGTCTGATTGGGGTGCCTGAAAGTGAGGGGGAAAATGGAACCAAGTTGGAAAACACTCTTCAGGATATCATCCAGGAGAACTTCCCCAACCTAGTAGGGCAGGCCAACATTCAAATCCAGGAAATACTGAGAATGCCACAAAGATACTCCTCGAGAAGGGCAACTCCAAGACACATAATTGCCAGATTCACCAAAGTTGAAATGAAGGAAAAAATCTTAAGGGCAGCCAGAGAGTAATGTCGGGTTACCCACTAACAGCAGATCTCTCGGCAGAAACTCTACAAGCCAGAAGAGAGTGGGGGCCAATATTCAACATTCTTAAAGAAAAGAATTTTAAACCCAGAATTTCATATCCAGCCAAACTAAGTTTCTTAAGTGAAGGAGAAATAAAATCCTTTACAGATAAGCAAATGCTTAGAGATTTTGTCACCACTAGGCCTGCCTTACAAGAGACCCTGAAGGAAGCACTAAACATGGAAAGGAACAACTGGTACCAGCCATTGCAAAAACATGCCAAAATGTAAAGACCATCAAGGCTAGGAAGAAACTGCATCAACTAATGAGCAAAATAACCAGTTAATATCATAATGGCAGGATCAAGTTCACACATAACAATCTTAACCTTAAATGTAAATGGACTAAATGCTCCAATTAAAAGACACAGACTGTCAAACTGGATAAAGAGTCAAGACCCATCAGTCTGCTGTATTCAGGAGACCCATCTCACATGCAGAGACATACATAGGTTCAAAATAAAGGGATGGAGGAAGTTTTACCAAGCAAATGGAGAACAAAAAAAAGCAGGGGTTGCAATACTAGTCTCTGATAAAACAGACTTTAAACCATCAAAGATCAAAAGAGACAAAGAAGGCCATTACATAATGGTAAAGGGATCAATTCAACAGGAAAAACTAACTATCCTAAATATATATGTACCCAATACAGGAGCACCCAGATTCATAAAGCAAGTCCTTAGAGACTTACAAAGAGACTTACACTCCCATACAATAATAATGGGAGACTTCAACACTCCATTGTCAACATTAGACAGATGAACGAGACAGAAAGTTAACAAGGATATCCAGGAATTGAACTCATCTCTGCAGCAAGCAGACCTGATAGACATCTATAGAACTCTCCACCCCAAATCAACAGAATATACAGTCTTCTCAGCACCACATTGCACTTACTCCAAAATTGACCACATAATTGGAAGTAAAGCACTCCTCACCAAATGTACAAGAACAGAAATTATAACAAACTGTCTCTCAGACCACAGTGCAATCAAACTAGAACTCAGGACTAAGAAACTCAATCAAAACCACTCAACTACATGGAAACTCAACAACCTGCTCTTGAATGACTACGGGGTACATAAGGAAATGAAGGCAGAAATAAAGATGTTCTTTGAAACCAATGAGAACAAAGACACCACATACCGGAATCTCTGGGACACATTTAAAGCAGTGTGTAGAGGGAAATTTACAGCACCAAATGCGCACAAGAGAAAGCCGGAAAGATCTAAAATTGACACTCTAACATTGCAATTAAAAGAACTAGAGAAGCAAGAGCAAACACATTCGAAAGCTAGCAGAAGGCAAGAAATAACTAAGATCAGAGCAGAACTGAAGGGGATAGAAACACAAAAAACCCTCCAAAAAATCAATGAATCCAGGAGTTGGTTTTTTGAAAAGATCAACAAAATTGACAGACTGCTAGCAAGACTAATAAAGAAGAAAAGAGAGAAAAATCAAATTGATGCAATAAAAAATGATAAAGGGGATATCACCACCGACCCCACAGAAATACAAACTACCATCAGAGAATACTATAAACACCTCTACGCAAATAAACTGGAAAATCTAGAAGAAATGGATAATTTCCTGGACACGTACACTCTTCCAAGACTAAACCAGGAAGAAGTTGAATCCCTGAATAGACCAATAGCAGGCTCTGAAATTGAGGCAATAATTAATAGCCTACCAACGAAAAAAAGTCCAGGACCAGATGGATTCACACCTGAATTCTACAAGAGGGACAAGGAGGAGCTGGTACCATTCCTTCTGAAACTATTCCAATCAAAAGAAAAAGAGGGAATCCTCCCTAACTCATTTTATGAGGCCAACATCATCCTGATACCAAAGCCTGGCAGAGACACAACAAAAAAAGAGAATTTTAGACCAATATCCCTGATGAACATCGATGCAAAAATCCTCAATAAAATACTGGCAAACTGGATTCAGCAACACATCAAAAAGCTTATCCACCATGATCAAGTGGGCTTTATCCCTGGGATGCAAGGCTGGTTCAACATTCGCTAATCAATAAACATAATCCAACATATAAACAGAACCAAAGACAAGAACCACATGATTATCTCAATAGATGCAGAAAAGGCTTTTGACAAAATTCAACAGCCCTTCATGCTAAAAACTCTCAATAAATTCGGTATTAATGGAACATACTTCAAAATAATAAGAGCTATTTATGACAAACCCACAGCCAATATCATACTGAATGGGCAAAAACTGGAAAAATTCCCTTTGAAAACTGGCACAAGACAGGGATGCCCTCTCTCACCACTCCTATTCAACATAGTGTTGGAAGTTCTGGTTAGGGCAATCAGGCAAGAGAAAGAAATCAAGGGTATTCAGTTAGGAAAGAAGAAGTCAAATTGTCCCTGTTTGCAGATGACATGATTGCATATTTAGAAAACCCCATTGTCTCAGCCCAAAATCTCCTTAAGCTGATAAGCAACTTCGGCAAAGTCTCAGGATACAAAATTAATGTGCAAAAATCACAAGCATTCTTATACACCAGTAACAGACAAACAGAGAGTCAAATCAGGAATGAACTTCCATTCACAATTGCTTCAAAGAGAATAAAATACCTAGGAATCCAACTTACAAGGGATATAAAGGACCTCTTCAAGGAGAACTACAAACCACTGCTCAGTGAAATAAAAGATAACACAAACAAATGGAAGAACATACCATGCTCATGGATAGGAAGAATCAATATCGTGAAAATGGCCATACTGCCCAAGGTAATTTATAGATTCAATGCCATCCCCATCAAGCTACC